TTTATTTATATAGCGCCAAATTCACAACACATGTCATCTCAAGGCACCCACATATATATATATGTATTATACCTAGTAAAATAAAAGTAATAGTCTTTATCAACAAGAATGATGTTCATTTGCCATATATTAATCCTTGCGAGGGAGAACATAAAGTCTTTGCTGATGTTCGGTTTGTTTTATTTAAGCAAAGTATTTCACCAACTACTTTAAATTAACCAAAGGATGGGAGGGTTTCACAAACATCTTAATCAAAACAAGTTACAAATAGCTTCCCCAAAGAGATGTTGAATAATCTTGAACTTCAGTGAGTCTAACTCCCTTCCAAAACATCTTACATTGGAGAGCAGCTTTTCAGGCATCAGTAAGATGAGGTTCATGTCCTGCAACCTTAATTGATACTTTTTGTGCAATGAGGGAAATAAAACACGCTCATATTCAGAAATAAATAGAGGAATAGATGAATACATGGAAAAATAACTTCTTCCACATAGAAGTGGAGGATTCTTTTTTTACCCAGAGTAACAGCAGAGGTTGTGGGAGACTTTGCGGAGTATAATGGACCGGTCCCTTATCAGTTCAAGCTGCTTAACTCAAGGTTAAAAGGTGAAGGACGGTGATTTGCATGTTCTGACCCACAAATGTTTTGCAGGTTCATCAAGGACAACATCTAAATTTGATGCACCTACTGTTCTGCTCATTTTGGAGAACCGGACCCTGTGTTCACCTGGCTAGTAGATCAGCTTTGTGCACTCTCATATATTCAGGAGGGCTTAGTTGACAAAGGCTTCTGCATGTTTTTGTTGGAATCACCTTTATTTGGGTTATTTCCAGGTGATCAGTTGGACCCTCTTGGGTTCTGGATTTATTCTGTAATTCAGACAGATATTTATCGAAAATTTCAGAACCAGTGTGAGCCAAATGGGGCTAATTTAAATGGTACTGGCTGTTACACACTCAGAACATCAATCCTAGAGGAACTCAGTGTGACTCTAATTAACTGTTTCTAATTTCAGTCTCTGCTGCCCACCTCCTCCGTCTCTACGAGAGGTTTCAGTTTCTGGATAAAGACAACCGAGGACACCTCAGGTTGGTCCAGCTCAGAACATTGTGGCTCTGGCAGCTGCAGCGTAAACCGGGTTTAATCAGAGACAGATGAAGCGTCATGGTTCTGCACCACATTAATCCTAACTGAAGTAAGAATCTTTACCTGCTGGTAGTCTTTGCTGCCATGTAATCCGGTTCAGACTATTGTTGCGCCGATGCCAGTTTTTGGCCCCGATACCTGGCTGTGCAGTATTGGCCGATACCAATACCATCTGTTTGAAATTGATGTGTGTGTATATATGAAGAACTGCATACTACTTGGATGTAAAATAATTGCCATCATGGCTTTGTCAAGCTGCTGTCTACCTTTTTAAAGCAGGAAAAAGACTAATACAAAGTAAATCCAGTAGAACTTTTTATTGCCTACCTGGAATGGGTGACAATAGTTTATTATTATTTGGCTCTCAAAATGGTATCAGTGCCCTATTTGTTGATACTGAAACCACCATTTTAGTGCTGGATCGGGGCCCCGCCTGATACTGGTATTAGTATAAGTGCAACACTAGTTCAGATTATCCCAAATAAATGCAGAACGGGGCACATTTAAGGCCGATGTAGGGACCAGATCTGTTCAGTGGTCATGAAGTAAAACATTGTGGTTTCCCAGGCAACGATTATAACATAATGCAGCTCAGTGTGACGATTCGGGAGGATCTGTGGCGTCAGCGTGTCTAATGACCAATGAAGTTTTACCTGATCGATAACAAAACTGAAAAAAGTGTATAAGGTGAACAAAGTAACTGTTAAACCATGATATAAAGGGGGAGAGCTGGGCAGCGCTGTGGCTAACTGTGTTCAGTAGCTAACAGGTTAGCATCTTTTGGAAGGGTCCGTTAGCTATATTATGCTACACTATTTTTAGCTTTGTGTGAACAACAACTGTTGATTTTCTACATGTAAAATAACTGTTTTCTTTGTCTAAAATCTCTATGAAATTTTTTAGATTTTCCATTTATCCTTCCTGCCCTCAGATCTTGAAATAAAAACAATAAAAATAAGCTTAGACTTGATTGTTACCTTGGTAAATATTAGAGCTCAGTCTTAGAAGCCAGTACTTTATTTGAAGACTTAGGGTGATTGTTTTCTAATTTCGGTTACTTTAGATCGCCAATGTAAAATAATAGCAAATACAGGTAATAATATGTTTAGACTCCAAAAGAGATTTGATCCTTAAGAAACGGGAGCAGTACAGTTTATCCAAGTGGAGTTGCCAAATGTTGATGTGAGGGGCCATAAGAAGGGGTAGGGCCAAGAGCAGATCTGGTACCTACACTGGATCTGTTAATCTGTTAAGCCGTTTTAAACTAAAGCAAAGGAGAAGAGCTTTTATTTAATTGTTAGAGAGCTCATATGAACTTTAATCATTGCGATACTAGATACAGATGCTCCACTAATGAACTAGATATGGACCCTAAGCTGTTTTCTGCCACACAAAACTGATATCTGTAAGAAAGTTACGATCTGATCTTAGCACCAAGCAGCACCTGGCAGTCAGAGAGCATCTCTAAGGTTTCATATTTAACAAATATTTAGAGCTGCTTGTTTCAAACCAATAAACATCTGATGTCCAAACAGGAAATGACCAAGACCAGATTTCAATTCAGTTTAATTATATATAGGTCCTTCTCAAAATTTAAGTATATTGTGATAAAGTTCATTATTTTCAATAATGTAATGATAAAAATTGAACATTACTATATTGTAGATTCATTGCACACTAACTGAAATATTTCAGGTCTTTTATTGTCTTAATACGGATGATTTTGGCATACAACTCATGAAAACCCCAAATTCCCAAAATTGCCACAAAAAATAGCATATTTAATCCGACCAATAAAAGAAAAGTTTTCTTAATATAAAAAAGTTAACCTTTAAATAATTATGTACAGTTATGCATTCAATACTTGGTTGGGAATCCTTGTGCAGAAATGACTGCTTCAATGCAGAGTGGCATAAAGGCATCAGCCTGTGGCACTGCTCACAATATGCTAATATTTTGAGAAGGACCTGTAGCGTCAATTAACAACACATCTCAAGGCACTTTACAGTTCACCAGATCACACAGTCAAATTTATTCAAAGGTTTCATCGACTCAAATACAATCCCTCACACTAAGCATGCTTGTAGCGACATTAGAGAGGAAAAACTCAATTTTAACAGGAAGAAACCTCCAGCAGAACCAGGCTCAGAGTGAGAACCATCTGCCGAGGCCGACTGGGGTTCAAGGAGACAGAAGCAGAGATACAAACATCAACTGTAAAAGGCGGCCCCTTCCAGGAAACACACAGCCAGACAGA